GCTGTATTAAGGTGTTGTAGTAAACCCAGATTTCGCTTGGTTGGAGATTGGAGGAGACGTGTTAGAATATTACACTTTTTCATTTTAAGATTAATTTAGCATATGATTTACTTGATTAGTCCACATTTCTTCTTTTTTTTTTTTATTTTTTTTTTTTTTTTGAAAACGAGTTCGTTCGTCGCCGGCTGGAGTGCAGCTGGGTAGATTCAGCTCCTGCACAGCTCACTCCGCGGGTTTAATGCGATTCTCCTGCCTCAGCTCTCGAGTGGCTGGGACTAAGGCAGCCGCGCCCCATCGCGCGGCTAGTTTTGTATTTTTTAGTAGACGGCGGTTTCACCGTGTTAGCCAAGGATGGTCTCGATCTCCTGACCTCGTGATCCGCCCGTCTCGGCCTCCCAAAAGTGCTGGGATTACAGGCTTGAGCCCCCGCGCGGCCCCAACACCTTCTTTAACACCTCGAGTTTAAAGCAAGATTTACTACTGACTTTTTTTTTTTTTTTTTTTTTGAGGACAGAGTCTCGGCTCTGTTGCCCCAACTGGAGTGCAGTGGCTCCATTTCAGCTCACTGCAAGCTCCACCTCCCAGGTTGACTTCATTCTCCTGCCTCAGCCATCCAAGTAGCCAGGACAACAGGAACCCACCACCACGCCCGGCTAATTTTTTGTATTTTTTTTAGTAGAGACAGGGTTTCACTGTGTTAGCCAGGATGGTCTAGATCCCCTTACCTTGTGATCCACCCGCCTTGGCCCCCCAAAGTGCTGGGATTACAGGTGTGAGCCACCGTGCCGGCAGCTTCTGATTATTCTTAATAGGCAGAATATGTCAATGAGGGCCTGTGCCTGTACCTGGAAGCCAGGAATCGAATGCAGCCCGTGGTGGTTACTGTGAAATTCCAGGTCCTGGTGCTCTCACCATAAACTGTGATATTGACATGCTCGCATTCTTAGAAACAGGAAGATCTCTTTGGGCCATCAAGTATATGGGGGAGATGCTTTGACAACATGTTTTGGACTTCTCTCTAAGATGTTGAAATATCTTGAGTCTTAAGGTAGTCAGATGAAAAGATTGATGTCTTCCATTTTCTTATTATCTGACCTTTTTGTCCCCTAATTCTGAATAATAAAAATTTCCTGAGGTGGGGCATGGTGGCTCACACCTGTAGTCCCAGCGCTGTGGGAGGCCAAGGTGGGTGGATCACTTGAGCTCAGGAGTTCAAGACCAGCCTGGCAACATGTTGAAACCCCATCTCTACAAAAAATGCAAGACGTAGCCAGGCATGGTGACGTGCACCTGTAGTGCCAGCTACTGGGGAGGCTGAGGCTGCAGAATCACTGGAATCCAGGAGGTTGTGGCTGCAGTGAGCTGTGATCATGCTGCTGCACTCCAGCCTGGGAGGGTGACGAAGTGAGACCCTGTCAAAAAAAAAAATGCCCTGGGCATAGTATCGTGAATATTTTTCTAGACTTAAAGTACACTCGTCTTTTTTTTGTCTCATTTCAGGTTACTTTCAGGAGTGAAAAAGCTCTTTATATTTCAGTTAATAGATGGGAAGGTAACTGTGAGAAACAATATTATAGTAACTCATTTAACACATGTAAGTTATTTGTATTTATGGTAATTTAAGAAATAGGATTTATGTAAACTGATAATTTTAGAACATTTTACAATATTAAAATTACTATTGAACTCATTCTTGCTTCCTCACATGGAAAAAAAAGTTTTAAATATTTAATATCCAGAAAGAAAAATTGAGTTGTGCATCTTTACAGTACTTAGAGAGTTCCTTAATATTGTTTAGGACATATTTAATTTCTTTTTTTTTTTTTTTTTTTTTTTTTGAGACAGAGTCTCACTCTGTCGCTCAGGCTGGAGTGCAGTGGCGTGATTTCTGCTCACTGCAGCCTCCACCTCCCGGGTTCAAGCCATTCTCCTGCCTCAGCCTCCCAAGTAGCTGGGACTACAGGCGCCGTCACCAGGCCCGGCTAATTTTTGGTATTTTTAATAGAGACGGTAGTTCACTATGTTGGCCAGGCTGGTCTCGAACTCCTGATCTCATGATCCGCCTGCCTCGGCCTCCCAAAGTGCTGGGATTACAGGCGTGAGCCACCACGCCTGGCTGGACATATTTAATTTCAATTTGCATTTTGTGCTTTTAATTTCTCGCTCTGTCGCTCAGGCTGGAGTGCAGTGGCGTGATTTCTGCTCACTGCAGCCTCCACCTCCCGGGTTCAAGCCATTCTCCTGCCTCAGCCTCCCGAGTAGCTGGGACTACAGGCGCCCGTCACCAGGCCCGGCTAATTTTTGGTATTTTTAGTAGAGACGGTAGTTCACTATGTTGGCCAGGCTGGTCTCGAACTCCTGATCTCATGATCCGCCTGCCTCGGCCTCCCAAAGTGCTGGGATTACAGGCGTGAGCCACCACGCCTGGCTGGACATATTTAATTTCAATTTGCATTTTGTGCTTTTAATTCTGTCATTCTGTATTGTGAAAGTTATATACTGTAATTTTTTTTTTTTTTTGCTTTAAGTACATTTACCTTATGTATGTTTTTTTAAAATATAAGCCAGAATTGTGGGCCGGGCGCGGTGGCTCACGCCTGTAATCCCAGCACTTTGGGAGGCCGAGACGGGCGGATCACGGGGTCAGGAGATCGAGACCATCCTGGCTAACACGGTGAAACCCCATCTCTACTAAAAAATACAAAAAACTAGCCGGGCGTGGTGGCGACGCCTATAGTCCCAGCTACTCGGGAGGCTGAGGCAGGAGAATGGCGTGAACCCGGGAGGCGGAGCTTGCAGTGAGCTGAGATCCGGCCACTGCACTCCAGCCTGGGCGACAGAGCGAGACTCCGTCTCAAAAAAAAGAAATATATATATATATATATATATGCCAGAATTCTCTAGTCTATTGAAATTATTGCTCTTTTTCCTTTGCGTATAAACCTAAATATTAATCATTTTACTACTTTGTGTTCTACTAAACATACTGTTTAAAATAATTGCAAAGGAAATATTTTACAGCGAGAGAGAAATGAATTTGAAAGTTTACAGAAGACCACCTTTGAGTAATCGCAGTTTGCTTCTGTTGTAGAGCTGTTTACGATCTGTGCTGGAACAAATAGCAGCATATGGCCAGGTTGTGTTTCGACTCCAGCAGTTCATTGATGAAGTCATGGGACACAGTTCCGAGAGCATGCTGCCTGGAAGTGGGTCTGTTCCTAAGAAGTCAACTGAAGCCCCCTTTAGAACCTACCAGGCTTTCATGTGGGCCCTGTACAAATATTTCATTAGTTTCAAAGAGGAACTTGCAGAAATCGAGAAGTGCATCATCAATAATGGTATTAAATGTTCCTCATCTTTACTCGTGCTACACGTAACTTATAATTTGAATGCCATTTAGATTTTTCATCATGTAAGATTGAAAGTTGCCTAGCAAATAAGTAGTTCTCGTGAATGCTTCATTTTAAAAATTATTTTAAATTTGTATTTTTAAATCATTCATATCTCTAAAAATCAAAAATCTACAGAGGATTTAGAGTGAAAAATCTAAATTATTCTTCCTGCACCAGTACCCCAGCCAGTCAGTTCTCCTCTCCAGAGACAGCCAGGTCCTCAGCTTCTTATGCATCCTCCCAGAAAGAGTTTGAATATACACAAGCAGTGCATATACATATACGCATACCTAGCAGTCATTACACTGCTCTCTTCAAATTTTTCTGATTTAAATTTTGAGGATAATACCACACAAATGTGAAGAGCTTCTATTTTCCTTTTTACAGATTGAGTGTTTCATCATGTGGTTGTATCATAGCCCAGTCCCCTTAATGGATTTAGGTTCTTCCCAGGCTTTTGCTATTGTTAGCAGTGCTGCAGTGATAATCACTTCTACATATCCGTAATCGTACACAGGCAGTGAGTTATCTGTAGGGTAGGTTCTTTTTTATTTTTTTGAGATGAAGGTTAATTCTGTCACCCAGGATGGAATGCAGAGGCAGGATCTCAGCTCACTGCAACCTCTGCCTCCTGGGTTCAAGCGATTTTCCTGCCTCAGCCTCCCGAGTAACTGTGATTACAAGTACCTGCCACCATCCCTAGCTAATTTTTGTATTTTCAGTAGAGACAGTCTTTCACCATGTTGACCATGCTGGCCTATAACTCCTGGCCTTAGGTGATCCGCCCACGTTGGCCTCCCAAAATGCTGGGATTACAGATGTTAGCTGGGATTATACTTCATCCAACCATGTGGGGTAGGTTCTTATAAATGGAATTGCTGGGTCATGTGTGATTTTCCTAAGTTTTGCCACTTTATGGGGAGGTGCAGGTAAATAGATTTATACTCTTGTGAGCCATGTAGATGAATACCTGTTTCCTCACACTCTTGCCATCTGTGTGTTATCAGAGGTTTTGGTCTTCACCAGTATGACAGTTGTAAAATAGCAACCCATGTAGCTTTTTTCCCCTTAACTTTTATTTTGAACTACCACAAAAAATGATAGAGAGAGGCCCTGTGTTCCCATGACTTTGCTTCCCCCAGTGGGAAAACCTCACGTAGTGACAGTACATAATCAAAACTAGGAAACTGACATTGGCACAGCACATTAGCCAAACTGCAGACCTGACACGGCTTCACCAGCATTGCAGGAACTTGCTTTGAGCAGGGGTGGGTGTGGTATCTTCGTGTATGGTTCCAGGTCTTTTTATCACCTGTCTAGCTCCACATGGCCACTTCCATGTTAAGGTCACAGCTGTGCCATCACCTCTCAGGACCTTGCTTCTGCAGCCCTTTGTAGGCACAGCCTCTCTCACCCCTCACTGTAACATCAGCCCATTGGAGGTGTTTTGTTTTACCTAGCGTAATTTTTTAAGTAAGGTCAAGTGACTTTTTGTATGTTCTAGAATCACTCATCTTTCCTTTTCTGTGAACTGTCAGTTCCTTTATATGTTAGTTTTCTGCTGAGTTTTCTTTTTCTCCGTGACTTGCAGGAGTTCTTCCTTAGGGAAATTAGGTCCTTGTGATGTGAGATCAAAATTCACCATCCTCCATTTTGCCCTGCCTGTCCATAAGCCTGGTGATTTGCCAGCATTTGTGTCACGTTTTAGATACGTGTATTTTTCTTGCTATTGAGTTTGATTTGTTGAAATTTGCAGATGCTACAATAACTCTTGCAATAGTGGTGGACAAGTTGGCACCTCGATTGGCTCAGCTCAAGGTTCTGCACAAAGTGTTTAGTACTGGAGTAGCAGAAGTTCCACCTGATACTCGAAATGTTGTCCGGGCCTCTCACCTGCTCAACACGCTGTACAAGGCCATTCTTGAATATGACAATGTTGGAGAAGCCTCTGAGCAAACCGTATGTGAGACTTCTGCCTGAAGTGTGTGACTCCATTTTGCACGGCAGAGGAGTGGTAGACAGCTGATCGTAGTTCTTTGTTAAATGACACTTGAATGGTGACTCGTTGGACAGTTCAGAGTTTTTAAATTGGCTTCCAAATTTGAGGCTGTAGGAAACTGGCTTTTCAGCTCTACTTGCCAAGATCCTCAGAAGGATGAGGCAAGGACAAAACAAGATGTGAGAAGTACCTACCTGATGTGTATAGATATTTACAATAACGCTTTCTTACATAAAAACTAACATGTAACTAACATTATGTGAGATATCTGAAGTAGACACAGTCACAGAAACAAGGTGGAATGCTGGTTACCAAGGGCTGGGGCATGGGGAGCTGTTGTTGAATGGGTACAGAGTTTCAGTTTTACAACATGAAAAGGTTCTGGAGATTTGTCACAATGATGTGAATGTACTTAAAACCTCTAAACTTAAAAATGGCGAGGGCCAGGCAAAGTGACTCATGCCTGTAATCCCAACACTTTGGGAGGCTGAGGCGGGAGGATTGCTTGAGCCCAGGAGTTTGAGACTTGCCTGGGCAACATAGTGAGGCCCTGTTTTTAAAAAATAAATTAAATTTTTAAAAAATATATAGTTAAGATGATAAACTTTATGTTATATATTTTATATTGTATTTTTAAAAATACAAATCTAGACCAGGCATAGTGGCTCACGCCAGTAGTCCCAGCTACGTAGGAGTCTGAGCTGGGAGGATCACTTGAGCCTAGGAATTTGAGACCAGCCTGGTCAACATACTGAGAGACCCTGTCTCTACAAAAAATTGTTAAAGTAGCCAGGTGTGCTGACACCAGGAATTCGAGACCAGCCTGGCCAACATGGTGCAACCCCGTCTCTACTGAAAATACAAACATTAGCCTAGCGTGGTGGCGAACACCTGTAGGCCCAGCTACTCAGGAGGCTGAGGGCAGGAGAATTGCATTGACCGGGAAGGTGACAGGGAGACTGAGATCACCACCATTCACGGCAGCACTGGGCCAATGGCAGAGACATCTCAAAACACCAGCCAGCTCTGGAGGAGTGCTTAGCGGGTCCCAGGTACTCGAGGTAGGCAGGAAGAGAAAGTGAGTGGAGGTCGAGGCTGCAGTGAGCCATGTTGGCGCCACTGTAGCTCCAGCTTGGTAACAGAACCAAGACTCTGTCTTCAAGCAGTATATAGATTTAGAAAATTAAATCCTAACAGCTAGGTTGTAATTTAGGAATGGCTACACGTACTTACTGTGGTATGTACATATAGGTCTATTTTCTAGTTCTGTGGGTATAACTTATTTTTACCCCAATTTATATTACCAGCATTTCTTTTTTTTTTTCTGAGACATAGTTTTGCTTTGTCACCAGGCTGGAGTGCAGTGGCAGCGATCTCAGCTCACTGCAGCCTCCACCTTCCAGGTTCAAGCGATTCTCCTGCCTTAGGCCACCAAGTAACTGGGATACAGGTGCACGCTGCCATGCCAGCTAATTTTTTTTGTTTTTTGTTTTTACTAAGAGAGGGTTTCACCATGTTGCCCAGGCTGGTCTTGAACTCTTGAGCTAGGCAATCTGCCTGCTATGGCCTCCCAAAGTGCTAGGACTACAGGCATGAGCCATGCGCCCAGCCAATATGCATTTCAGTAAAAAGGAGGTTGATTTTCTCTCAGCACTGCCATTTTTGTTATCTCTGAGAACTAGTGGAATGAAGTAATTTCCTCATTCTCTTTTTTATTTTTTTTTTTTTGAGACGGAGTCTCACTCTGTTGCCCAGGCTGGAGTCCATGGTGCAATCTCGGCTCACTGCAGCCTCCACCTCCTGCGTTCAAGCGATTCTTCTGCCTCAGCCCCCCGAGTAGCTGGGACTACAGGTGCACATCACCATGCCCAGTTAAATTTTGGTGGTTTTTTTTGTTTTTTGTTTGAGATGGAGTCTCGCCCTGTCGCCCAGGCTGGAGTGCAATGGCGCAATCTTGGCTCACTGCAACCTCCGCCTTCTGGGTTCAAACTATTCTCCTGCCTCAGCCTCCTAAGTAACTGGGATTACAGACACCTGCCCCCATGCCCATCTAATTTTTGTATTTTTAATAGAGACGGGGTTTCACCATTTTGGCCGGGCTGGTCTTGAACTCCTGATCTCCTGATCCGCCCACCTCGGCCTCCCAAAGTGCTGGGATTACAGGCATGAGCCACCACGACCAGCTGTATTTTTTAAAATAGAGACGGGGTTTCACCATATTGGCCGGGCTGGTCTCAAACTCCTGACCTTGTGATCTGCCCACCTCAGCCTCCCAAAGTGCTGGGATTACAGGCGTAAGCCACCATACCCAGCCAGTTTCCTCAATCTTAATGGACGCTTTGCTAGTAATAGGATTTCGATAGGGAAACCTTGTTCGCTTGCCTGGGCTGTCTCAGGATACACCTACTGCCTCTGTGTCATTTTCACTCTCAAGTTTCCCAGTCTGCACTACAAACAATATGATCATCCCATATTTAGGTGAGCTTTCCTTTTTTTTTGAGACAGAGTGGCACTCTGTCGCCAGGCTGGAGTGTAGTGGCGGGATCTTGGCTCACTGCAACCTCTGCCAGCCAGATTCAAGTGATTCTTCTGCCTCAGCCTCCTGAGTAGCTAGTACTACAGGCGCGCGTCACCATGCCCAGCTAATTTTTGTATTTTTAATAGAGAGGGGGTTTCACCATGTTGGCCAGGATGGTCTCGATCTCTTACCTCAGGTGATCCGCCCACCTCTACCTCCCAAAGTGCTGGGATCACAAGCATGAGCCACCGCGCCCGGCATTTAGGTGAGTTTTTCATAAGGATTTTATAGTGTATGTTTTTGGATTTTTAATTTCTTTGTGCCCCCAAAAAACATGGAAATCCGATCACTTTTTTAAAGGCATTTCAGAAATGTTTAAACCTTTTATTCTAGTGACCAGGGAACCCCGAGAGCTGACCGTGCACCTTTCTGCCTCAGGTCTCCCTGCTGTTCTCTCTCTGGGTGGAAACAGTACGGCCTTACCTGCAGACGGTGGACGAGTGGATCGTGCATGGGCATCTGTGGGATGGCGCCAGGGAGTTCATCATCCAGAGGTGAGCTGCAGCAGAGCACAGGGTCACTGGGGGCTGCCATCACCAGTTTCCTCCCCGTGAAAGTCGAATGCTTTCGTTAGTTTCAAATGGTACTGAGGGAGCACAGTTCACATCACAGAACTTGTCGTCGTCATAGGCAAGTTCTATTTCATTTTTATGGAAGATGTCAGTGATACCAGCTGATTAAAAATATCTTTATCCAAGTTTTGTCACTCCACAACTTTTCTTAAGCAAACTGTATTTTTCGATGATAGTATATTTATGGCAAGCTAGTAAACACTGCTTCCCATAAAATGAGTTTAGGTGATATTAGATGGTTTGAGCTATTTTCTTTGTAAATTATCGGTAAAGAGATACAGAAGATTATAAAATATGCCTCTAATATGTTTATTTCTCTGAATTATCTACTGATTTTTTACCTTAGTATAATATTTAACAAAACAATTAAGGAAAATCTTATTCCATTTATGACAGTTTCCCTTCAGTTAATTGATTTTTCTGAACGGAATCATACAAACAATGTAGACCTATTTGTGCTCTTTTAACCCAATTTTAAATTATACGGTATATTTAGATATATGGTTTCTATTGATAGCTATCCATTGAACTCATCGGGAAGGATAATTTTAAGTCTTTAGTGTTCTGGAAGGGTAGCAATATGTATGCAATGCTCACGTGAGTGAACTGACCCTTCCTTCAACTCAGTCTCATGTCTGTCACTGTGTTCTGATTCATCAATCTCATGTGAGAATTTTTGTGGCAAGTGGGACTCTGACTGTTCTTCTAGAGTGATGATTGACCATCATTTTATTGTTAAAAGTAGTCCAGTTAAGAATCATTGTAGGGAAAATGATAGAGAAGTCTGCAAATTAGTTTCACAGGAGATAGTAAATGGGTAAACTTTTATTCTACTTCTAAAGGGGACCAAATTAGTCATATTTTAAATAATTTCAATTCAAGAAACTATTTCTGCTTACTTAAATTTTACTTATACCATTCCAAGTATTTATTCCCTTTTCTCTTTAAACTGAGCTGAGATTAAAACTGCCCCATTTTGCCTAAAGATTGCTTCCATTTACTAATAATTAATATTACGTTTTGTAATGTCTGGACAACAAACTAGAACAAGTATGCTGTTTTTTAAGGAAGAGAAATAAGAGTTTAAAATTCTTTTGAATCTCTTTAGAAACAAAAATGTTCCAGTTAATCACAGAGACTTCTGGTATGCAACTTACACGCTATATAGTGTATCAGAAAAGACAGAAAATGAAGAAAAAATGAGTGATAATGCTAGTGCGAGTTCCGGCAGTGACCAGGGGCCCTCCAGCAGGCAGCACACCATGGTGTCCTTCCTCAAACCTGTCCTGAAGCAGATCATAATGGCTGGCAAGTCGATGCAGCTGCTGAAGAACCTGCAGTGTGCGGAGAGCACCACCTGCCAGGCAGGAGCCAGAGGTACCTGTTCTGTCTTCCCGTGTGTCCCTCGGTGTTGGGACACCTGACCCTACTCACTCTTGTCATCCTGATGCCTAATTATTTTGTAGTTTGCAAGTCATCGAATCCTCTTATGTCAGTGGTAATTATCATCATGGTTGAATTAATAATCATGCTGCTCTTGATTTTTTAAAAGACTGTCTTCATTGAAAACTTTCAGTGCTGTGTTTGAAAAGGCAGCGACAGTAAGTTCTACATGCATTTTCCTCACTCCGGATTCCTTAGGACTGGAACTTTAAAAAGTAATTCCCTGCCATTTCTTTTTTTATTTTTATAAATTGATATGATAATTGTACATATTCTTAGGGTACATAGTGATGTTTTGATACATATACAGTGATCAGATCAGGATAATTAGCATTTCCATCATCTCAAACATTTACTACTTCTTTATGTTGGGGACATTCAGTATCCTCTTCTTTGCTGTGTGCAACTCTATAATACATTGTTAACTGTCATCATCCCATAGTGATACAGAGCACTGGAGCTACTCCTTCCAGCTAGCTATTTGTGTCCTTTAACAAATATCTTCCTCTTCCTCCCTTCCCCCTACAAAATCCAGCATCTGGTATCCTGCTCTGCTTTTTACTAATATGAGATCAACATTTTTTAGCTGCCACATGAGTGAGAACAAGCAGTGTTTAACTTTCTGTTCCTGGCTTATTTCACTTAACATAATGTCCACCATTTCCATCAGTGTTGCTGCAAACAGCAAGATTCATTCTTTTTTATCTTTGAGTTATATATATATATACATGTACCACAGTTTTTTTTACCCATTCATCTGTTGTTGGGCACCTAGGTTGATTCCGTATCTTGGCTGTGTGAATACTGCTGCAGTAAACATGGGGTGCAGATGTCTCTTTGATGTCCTGATTTCCTTTCCTTTGGATAAATGCCCACTAGTGGGATTGCTATATTATATAGTAGTTCTATTTGTAGTTTTTTGAGGAACCTCCAAACTGTTCTCCATAGTGTCTGTAGTAGTTTATATTCCCACCAACATTGTGTGAGAGTTCTCTTTTCTCCACATCCTCACCAGCATTTGTTATTTTTTGTTTTCGTGATAAGTGGCCATCCTGTCTGGGTGAAATAACTCATTGTGGTTTTGATTTGCATTTTCCCTAATAATTAGTGATGCTGAGCATTTTTCATCTATTTCTGGGCCATTTGTATGACTTCTTTGGAGAAATGTCTGTTGGGATCATTTGTTCCCCCGCTGCTTTTTTTTTTCTTTTTGAGATGGAGTCTCGCTCTGTCGCCCAGGGCTGGAGTGCAGTGGCCGATCTCAGCTCACTGCAAGCTCCGCCTCCCGGGTTCACGCCATTCTCCTGCCTCACGCTCCCAAGTACTGGGACTACAGGCGCGCGCCACCTCGCCTGGCTAGTTTTTTTGTACTTTTTTAGTAGACGGGGTTCACCTATTAACCAGGATGGTCTCGATCTCCTGACCTCGTGATCCGCCGTCTCGCCTCCCAAAGTGCTGGGATTACAGGCTTGAGCCACCGCCCCGGCCGCTTTTTTTTTTTTTTTTCTGAGACAGGGTTTTACTCCCGTCACCCAGGCTGGAGTGCAGTGGTGCATTCTGGCTACTGCAAGCTCTGCCTCCCCTGGCTCAAGTGATTCTCCTGCCTCAGCCTCCTGAGTAGCTGGGATTGCACACCCCACACCACACCTGGCTAATTTTTTTTGTTTTTAGTAGAGATGGGGTTTCACCATGTTGGCCGGGTTGATCTCGAACTCCTGAACTCAGGTGATCCACCCGCCTTGGCCTCCCAAAGTGCTGGGATTACAGGCAGGTGAGCCACCGTGCCCTGCCTCATCCATTGAATTCTTTCACTGTAAAATTTGCTTGTGTGTTAAACATTTGTTTCTGTTGAAGTTTCTCATTCAAATCAATTCTTTTCCTAATTTTGTTGAATGCTTATTTGTACTTGTTGTATCTCACTGAGTCTCCTTAAGATTTTAATTCTGAATTATTTTTCCAGGTTTCGTATATCGTTGTAGTCTCTTACTGGAGAATTTACTGGGTCTTGGGAGGTGTCATGTTTCTTTGCTTTTTCATGTTTGATGTATTTCTACATTTATTTCTACACAATCTGGTGGGGAAAGTCACCTTTTCCAATTCTATGGAGTATGTTTTGTAAAGAGTTATTCATATGAATAGGTCTTGGGTATGGGTTCGTGGGATGCATTGGGCCCTTGGTTCTGGATGAATGCAGTAGTGTCAGTCTCCATGTTACTTTCTTCCAGTGTGTAATCCACTTTAGTGATGTTTGCACAGTGCCTCGTGGCCCTGACACTGAGGGGGTTTGTGAACAACAGTGGCACAACTGGCCGGGCTTGGTGGCTCATGCCTGTGAATCCAGCACTTTTTTTCTTTCTTTTTTTTTTTTGAGACAGAGTCTTGCTCTGTTACCCAGCGCCCTGGGTTGCAGTGGCCATGGCTCTCAGCTCACTGCAAGCTCTGCCTCCTGGTTCAAGTGATTCTCTTGCCTCAGCCTGCTGAGTAGATGGGATTACAGGCATGTGCCACATGCCTGGGCTATTTTTGTTTTTAGTAAGAGATGGTGGTTTTATCATGTTGGTCAGGCTGGTCTTGAACTCCTAACCTCACAGCATTCCACGCCGCCTTGCTTCCCAAGAGTGTTGGCATACAGGCGTGAGCCACCACACCTGGCCAATCCCAGTACTTTTGGAGGCCAAGGCAGGTGGATTACTTGAGGCCTGTTTCTCAGGCCCAGGACGTGGGTACAGGGCTGCTTGGTAGCCTGGGTGCATGTCTGCCTGGACAGTTCAAGGGGCTCTTTTTCAGTCCTGGGACATGGTCACATGGCTTATTGACAGCCCTAGGTATGTATCTGCCAGTGGCAGCCCAGGAGGCTGCTTCTGAGGCCCAGCATGTGGGTGGAAAGCTGCTCTGCTGGCCTGAGGGTGTCTTTACTGGGGGTGGTCTTCAAGGTTCTTTCTCAGGTTTGGGATATGGGTGCCAGCTGGCTCAGAACATGCCCACCAAGGGCAGACCAGAGGGCTGTTTGCAGGCCCAGTATGCAGGCCTGTGGCTGCTCAGCTGACCTGGGGTCGTGACTCCCAGGCGCTGCCTCTGGGGCTGCTTCTTAAGTAATGGATGCAGCGCAAGGCTGCTCAAGAAGCCTAGGTACATGCCTGCCAGGGCAGCCTCTGAAACTGTTTCTCAGACCCTGAATGCTGGCCCAGGGCCACTGGGTAGGCCCCGGGCCTGTCTGCAAGGGGTTGGTGCTAGGGGGCTGTTTCTCAGTTCCTGAGCACAGGTCTGTAACTGTTCCACCAGCCTGGAGGCATGTCATCTGGTAGGAAGCTCAGGGGCCTGTTCCCACCCTCTAGAGATGGCACAGCAGTTCGGCCAACTCAGCGGTGGGTTCGGTCTCTCAGGGCTGCCAGACTGTTCCTCTGGCTGGAAGTGCAGTGGCAGGGGCTGGTTTTCCTGCTGTGCAGGACCAGAATCACAGCCGATCCTGGGCCCAGGCTCCACATAGCTGGGGTTGTGGTGTTCAACCACCCCTGTGGCCTTGGTGGAATGAGGATGGAGCCCCAGTGGCTGGGGGGCAGGAGAGGTGCAGTGGCTACTGGCCCAGAGGAGGGTGTGCTCCAGAGATGGCTCTGGTCTTTATTTATTTATTTATTTTGAGACACGAGTCTCGCTCTGTGGCCCCAGGGCTGGAGTGCAGTGAGCCAATCCGGCTCACTGCAAGCTCGCCTCCCGGGTTCAGCCATTCTCACTGCCTCAGCCTCACCAAGTACTGGACTACAGGGTGCCCGCCACCATGCCCCGGCTACCATTTTTTTATTTTTTCTTAGTGACGACGGGGTTTCCACTGTGTTAAGTCAGGATGGTCTCAATCCTTCCTAACCCTCGTGATCCACACCGCCTCAGCCTCACCAAGCAAAGTGCTGGGATTACACGGTTGTGAAGCCACTGCCGTGCCCGGCCTAGCTCCTGTCTTAAGATGGTGCCATGCTGCAACAGCCTTGGCTCAAAGGGGGATGGGGCAAGGCAACCCTTGTGCTCCTACCCACGGCAAGGGCAGCTGCCGTGGAATTGCCAGACAGCCGTCCAAACTGGACTCAGAGCTGCGTGGGAACTGTGGAATGCCTCTCTGCGTGTTAAGGACTGTCAGGTGTTTTGTGGGGCTGGTGGCTTTCTTCTGCTTACCTTACCACCGTCTCAACGATGCGGAAGCCTCCTTCTTAACCTCCAGACCAGCCTGATCTGAGAGGAGAACAGACTGGGCGCTGCGAGGTCTGTGAGCTCCACACTGCCTCCCTCTGCGGCCTCGCCAGTACCCAGCACTGTCACACTCCCCCACTCGCACTTCCAGCACTCGCCCTTTCAATCTCCAGTCACCATCTTTTTTTTTTCTTTTGGTAGACAGAGATCTATTTGCTCTGTCACCCAGGCCTCTAAGTGCAATGGCACAATCTGGCGTCACTGCACATCTCGGCCTCCCCGGGTTCAATGCCCATTTCCTGCCCTCAGCCTCCCCGGCAGCGGGACTACACGGTCGCCCGTAACCACAACCCAGACACACATTATTTTTTTGTATTTTAAATAGACACGAGGTTTCACCGTGTTAGCCAGGATGGTCTCGATCTGACCTCGTGACCCGCCCACCTCGGCCTCCCAGAGTGTTGGGATTACAGGTGTGAGCCACCGGCCGCGGCCTCCAATCAGATCTTAACTGTTGATTCGTTGCTTTGGTCCTATCTTGCTGTTGGGGGAGGTGCACCAGGTGTCTCTAGGTAGCCACCTTGCCGGCATCACTCCCTCTAGCATTTTATTTTATTTTATTTATTATTTTTTTCGAGACCAAGTCTCACTTTGTTCGCCAGGCTGGAGTGCAGTGGCATGATCTCACCGCAACCTCTGCCTCCTGAGCTCAAGTGATTTCTCGTGCCTCAGCTTCCCCAGTAGCTGCGACTACAGGCGTGAGCCACCATGCCCAGCTAATTTTTGTATTTTTAGTAGAGATGGGGTTTCACCATGTTGACCAAGCTGGTCTCGAACTCTTGATTTCAGGTGATCCACCTGCCTTTTAAAGTGCTGGGATTACAGGCGTGAGCCACCATGCCCAACCCTTCTGGCATTTCTTAATGCAGTGCAGCGTTAGTCCTTGAGGACCATGAACCGTGGCTGATAAGAATTTCTTTATGAGCAGTTCAGACTCGTTCATAAATTTCAAGAAAATGATGCAATTTAATATATTCAAAGTTTTATCCTATAATCCCAGCACTTTCGGAGGTTGAGGCAGACAGATCTGAAGGTCAGGAGATCGAGACCATCCTGGTCAACATGGTAAAACCCTGTCTCTACTAAAAATACAAAAATTAGCTGGGCATGGTGGTGCATGCCTATAATTCCCTGCTACTCAGGAGGCTGAGGCAAGAGAATCGCTTGAACCAGGGCATCGGAGAGTGCGGTGAGCCAAGATCGCACCACTGCACTCCAGTCTGGTGACAGAGTGAGACTCCGTCTCAAAAAAAAAAAAAAAGGGAGGCTGAAGGCAGAGAGAAGGCATGAAACCTGGGGGCAGAGCCCAGCAGTGAAGTGGAGATCCGCGCCACTGCAGCTCCAGCCTGGGCACACAGCGAACTCCGTCTCAAAAAAAAAAACTTGGAAGATAAAGATGTGACCCTATGTTATAAAATCTCAATCTCTCAATGTTTATATCGTAATTATATTACTGTTCTACTTGAAATTAAATTTTTTGTAGAATGCG